CGTTGATAGAACTTTTCTATTGTCCTATTCAAAATATGATGCTTTTCTATCGTTCTATTCAAAATATATAGTTAAAAGGAATAATTTCGTGATTATTTCTGAAAATTCATTTTACAAGTAAATTTATTTGCGATTTTATAATTTGATATTTCTCTTAATGTAAAATCTTTTCTCTATCAAGCTCAGTTTTACACATTTCTGATTGGGCTCTTAAAAAATTTATTAATTGAATTTTTAAAAAATGATTAACTTTTTAACTTCTAGATAAAAAAATATATTAAAAATGTATATTATTGAACATTATCTTAATCAGGAAAAATTAGTATAATTTTGTTTTTATTTTAATTTTAATTTTTTACGACAAACTTTTTGTGTATATGGATGTATTAATATATATAATAAACATAATAAATATAAAAAATACTTCAATAAATTAATAAACTAGTACTCTTTTTCTTTAAAAAAATTGTGTCAAGAAAGTTTTCATTTTAAATGTTATTCCTAAACTTTACTTGAAAAATATATCATGCATGACATATATTTAAATAGTATATTATATTTGTAATAAATATATGATATGCTATTCAAATATATGTCAAAATATACCTACATATAGTTATAATACATGTACTCATATGATACTTTTACGAAACTTAATAAATTTATGATACTTTTTTTACATAGCAATCTGCAGTCTCAAGAAAGCGTATGTATCATCTTTTAATATTCAAACGTATAAACGTGCATACTTTTAAAGTGCATATGTCGAGAATAACTTGAGAGACTTGAAAACTGATTCAGGCCTTTGTCTTCACAATTCGTTCAATATTTTTAAATCCTAATGCCATAAAACTCGGATATTTTAATAATATTTAGAGTCTGTGTAAATATGATGTAAATGTCATTTTTTCATTACACTTTTCATTACAGAAAAGAAAAATTTACTAATATTTTTATCTTATTCCTTTTCTAAATGATACCATATTGCATATCCTTGCTTGGGATTTACCAAGCAAAAATTGCTTTTACCCATTCTTTCTTCTCTTTCTTCATTTTTATTTCAAGTATATTCTGAAAGAAAAATATAACTTGTATGCAGATATAATATCATAAAATAGCTTCAAAATACCACAAATGTTTATATGAAATATTTCAGTTCGCATAATATAAAGTTATACATATTTCTATTTGTCGATAATATATACTAATATTTTTATCGAATAATCCCTTTTTACTCTGAAATCTCCAATTATCATAATTTATATTATATTATTCAAAAAATAACATAGTTTCTAAAATATATAGTGCTCTTTAAATAAAATTTTGCTTTTATCAAATATACAACATTAAACCTCCTATAATCTTATATATTAATTTTATATGTTAATGATCGGTAAAATTTATTTTGCATGTCCTTCATATGATCGTCTATTCATATAATATAAGATATTTTATTTTAAGAAAAGAGAAAATAATTGGTTGCATTTTATGCGACATCAGGTGGCACTCTCTTTCAATGAACTTGACGGGTATTCTTTTATGAGGAAAATTGCAACGAAGACACAATCGGGCACTTGCGAACATTGACGAGTCTGTTCATTCACAGCGCAGACTTAAATGCACTGATGCGAAATAAAAGTCTATTGGCAAACCTTCACTTCGTTTTTACTCATTAACTTTTTTTACGAAAACGATGGAGGCACGTTACCATTCTTTTCAACATTCTTGGTGAAGTCTCGATAAATTCAGGTCTTTGTCTTCACAATTCGTTCAATATTTTTAAATCCTAATGCCATAAAAACTCGGATATTTTAATAATAGTTTAAAGCTTGTGTAAATATCGCAAAGTCTACTTCTGATCTTTATGTCATCAGAGCATTTTAATGCCTCTCAAGTGTATAATAGAACAGAAGGCTCATAATATATAACGTACTACGGGAACGTGTTGCACTTTGAGGCCACGTCATTTTTGTCAGAATATGATAGAGTATAATATGTTTTGATGAGTATAATATGTTTTCTTGCGTATCTATGCTTGACTTATATCGAAAAAAAGAATTTTTAAAGAATCATTTAAGAAATGCCACAATGTAAAAGATACCAATATAATATTCTCATATGTAGCAATTTACATGCTCACTTTATGCGTCGATATGCACGCGTATGTTTGCGGGATTTCAATAAAGGGATTTCAATTATGTGTCTTTGAATGCCGTGCGATTTAGCAAGAAATTTCTTAATTTCATAGAAAACGGAATTTCTGCATGTGACACGTAGTTTCTGGAATAACACGAGTAAGATTTATTGTTGTGTATAATATTAGTATCGTGTTCGTTAACTTTGTCACTGGAGAGGAGCACATAATCGCAAATAGAAATCTTTTGATATTGTCGAAACCTTGTTTGTATCTAAATTCCTTTAAAAAGTATCTTAATATAAATTCTTTTTCTCTCTATTTTTCGGATAGCGTTTAAACAAAATGCAAAACACGATATAAAATAAATTAATATTATTAATTTTAATATTTCTTTATTATGTTCTAAAACAATCACTGTTGAAATGAATGTGTTGCATTAAATAATTAACGATATTTTAACGAAATATCTTGAAAACAATAACAAAAATTAAAATTACTATTAATCGTTCATGGTATTTTCGTATTTTAAGAAGACTTATTTAATGATTCAAATGCAATGCAAATTTTTTTTTGAATACTAATTAAACACTTCTGTTTAAATACTAAATATTACATTGAAAAAAAGAACTATCAAAATTTTGAAATTTAAAAGTGTCTGAGATAATAGCTATACAGAATATTTTAGAAATGAATATACATTAAACAGATTCCAACGGAACAATGAAGTTAAAGAAATAGCATCTTGCATGATTCGCCGCAGGCACATCTATATTTCTACATATGCATTAATGCCGCTTGCGGCACCTATTGCTTTATGCATGCAACACGACACGCATGAATAATTAGAAGCTTTATACAAATGAAAGGAAATACATGTATAAGCACGTTATACTACTATGGATATATTATTGTGAGAAAATGTTCTTTAATTATTCCCTTTATGAAATGTCTTTTTGAGCTAGAATATATACAGAGTGAGTCAAAAGTATGTGTTAAAAATTTGTGAACGTGGGTAAAAAAGAAGAACAAATGTTCATATGAACATATGGTTGCAAATGCTTCGTCATCGAAATAATGAACATAAATTAGCAGTATCAAATAATGATTTATTTAAACGTTTACAGTTTTGCTGTTGTTTACAAGAGATGCTCTATGTACTCTTCATCATTTTCAATACATGCCTGAGCACGACGTTTACATGGCTGGCGCACTCATTTAAAAACTGGGATTTTCACGGATTATCTCGCAAGCATTATAGACGTGTCCATAAGTCATCTTCATTGTTAACTATTGTTTGATAAACGACATTTCTTGAAAATGATGGAGGACACGTAGAGCATCTCTTGTAAAGAACAACAAAATTGTAAACGTTCATATAAATAAATAAATTATTTGATACTGCTAATTTATATCCATTATTTTGATAATGATTGATTTGCGACCATATGTTCATATGAACATTTGTTCTTTTTTTTCATTCAGGAACATACTCACAAATTTTTAATACATACTTTTGACTCACCTGGTATATAAAACGCGCATGTCAAATATTTGGCAGTTCAGTTATGAGTTTAATGAAATTCTACAACTAATTTATAATCATTTTTTTCATTTTCCCATCATTAAAATATTAAAGTGTCAGTTAATAAAAAATTAAAAAATTTGGATAATTAAATATATATGTGACAACATTTGCCAATTCAAATTCTTTTATGTAGAAATAATAATAAACTATTTTACTATGGGAATAAAATCTCGTATAATTTTTTTGCAAAAGTAAGTTAATAATTTCTAATATATAATTTAACAATGTGCATATATTGTATTCATCAAATAAATTATTTCCAAATTTCAAAAGTTAATGAAGAATGCAAAACTTTTTATTATCAATTTAATTCGAATAAATAATTAATTTAATTCTCAAACAATAACATATAAATTATTCCCATCTCAAATTATTTTCGGTATTTCAAAAGTTATTTATTTTATTTTATTTATCAATATTTTATAATTTCGTAGTTTTCAAAAGTTATATAGAATTATTAGTTCAAAAACAAATGATATATCGAGTGCAGTTTGATAATCCTCTAGTATTATAGTTTCACTAGTTTTGAACTGCCAAAACTTAAATACATTTGAGAACAGAGAAAATGGAAGATATTACTGCAAATAAATTTTTTTCGAATCAAAGTTTTAATGTGAATGAAGATCGAAGTTGTGACGTAAATATGATGTAGAGAAAATGATAGCTAGGTATATAATATTGTAAAGTTTGGAGAAATCTAAAATTCTTCCATTCAATATAATATAATAAATTTATCAAGATTATTTTTCTGTACTGTGTGTATGTATGTGTGTGAATTCTTCAAACTTTTTTTAAAAAAACTATGCATAAAATTAATATTCTATAATTCTTAAAACTTTTCTATAATTCTTAAAACTTTAATTATACATAGTTTATAATAGCAATATTTGTAAACCTATATATAATTATAATCTCAATGTATAATGATTAAAAAAATATCTTTCATTTATAATTACAATTTGATATGTAAATTTATAAAGTTTTGTCTCGTATTATATTTGTCTAAATAGATTTTAAATAAGACCTGTGACTAGTTCTTCCGTACTTTTAAAACTTGCTTTCACAAGAGAAATTAAAGCTCGTGGTCGTATTCGTTTTATAACCATGTAAAGACATAAAATAGGAGAGAATCTAATGAAAAAAGACGACATGCGTCAGCCAGAAGAAAAGCATGAAAGATATATAAAGCAAGATAACGGCAAAGAAAGAGGACATTAATAAAACAGAAAAGAATATTAATGAATTGTTGATCTTCTTAATTTTTTTGCTTTGCATCACCTTGTACATAGTGCCGCTGTCACCCACGCCAAAATACAAAGAATCGTTGCACGGGCCTTCGTACACACATATCTAGAGCATATTGATTCGGATTAAATCCGTGTATAATAAATTTAAATATATTTAAATATATTTGGTTTTATTTATTGCCTAAATACAACTTTCTAAAATTACTTACCCTGCCCTTAAAGGCTCGCAGATGGCATAGTAGCGCTCAAAACTAATGGCTAAAATTGTGAGGACGGAAGCATGTGCCACAGTTAACTCCACAAACGGAACAGCTTTGCCTATACAAAAAAATTAGTATATAAATCTTACACATAATATCATAAAAGAATTTTATATGTTATTATTTTATTTATATGTTATTACTTTAATAAAATAACAAAACAAATAATATATTTTTATTAGACATAAAATACAAAAAATAAAAAACAAAATTCTTTCAAAATTTCAATTATTATCGCTTTTTAATCAACTTGTTTTATATACTATTCATAAGTAAAACACAAGTAAAATAGAATTATAAAAAGAACATGTGAAACATGAAACAGAGAGAACCATAAAGTTCATATACGCTATTTTGTTTTAAAATTCGGAATTAAATCTACAAAAATTGTACACTTAAAAGTTGTGATATTTGCTTCATAGTTTATTTCGTAACATTTATAAATTTGTTTATTTATTTCAAATAATCTGTAATAAACAGAATTTTAAGTAATAAAATAAAACAATTAAATAAAAAAATAAAAAAATAGAAAAATTTATTTTAAAATAAATTGTTCATTTTAAAATAAAATTTTGACATTAAGTATATATATATATATGTACTAATAATTATATCTTCGATTTTCATTAACAAGTTGAAAAACAGTTCATGAGAAAAGATAAAATTTTTAAATTTTAATTATTTTTTGACATTCTATTGTATTCTGGGAATTATTATAATTTCATATCTATAATTAATATATTTAATTAATATTTCTTCGAATAATTTTGTCTCAAATAATTTCTTATTGTTATTAAATTACTACAAAAACGATGTAACTGTGCGTTAATTGAATATATTAAATAAAATATCGCATATTGGAAAACAAAAAATACACTTTGACATTGTTTTTAAAATTAATATATCGCATTATATTGAGATATCAAAAGGATAGTTTCTTCCTTTTTCATATGTTTAGTAAAAAAACAATATTTCCGTGAATGCGTGATAATAATTCCCTAAAGAAATCTTATCTAACACGACATACGGTGCCGCAATATACATTATTGCAACATCCTGGACACTATTATTTTCCACATTTATTCTTTCATTTATTGCTATCACCTGCGTGTGAACGATAGAATCTTTCATTACGTTTTGTCTGAAGATTAAATAGTGCCCGTTGACTTTTTTGGCCAATAGTATACTCCGATACAGATATACTTTAATAAAACTTCTATATTCTTCAAATGTTTTATTATACAGGAGTTTCGTGCTATTAGAGCTCACATTCTGTTGCTAAAATAAAATATCTTTTAGAAAATTTCTTATATTATCTTATGTTTAGAAAATTTCTCTTATTGAAACAATAATATGTCTAACTTCCTACAGATAAAAATGTGTTCTTTTAAAATATTTATGATATTAATTAAAAAGATGATTTTTAAGAAGCAAAATAATGCTAATAATTCAATTTTGTATAGATCTTTATTATTCACACACACACACACACACACACACACACACACACACACACACACACACACACACACACACACACACACACAATAAAGATTTACAAAATTGATAGTTGATGAAAATTGCGAAATCTGTTAATATAAATTCATGAGTTATTGGCATTATTTTGCTCTATATATATGTATATATATATATATATATATATATATATATATAAGTATATATATATATAAGTTAATTTAATTAATAATTAATCCTTTAACTACGACTCGTCAATAGACGACAAATAGGAATGCACATTCGTAGTTAAAGGGTTAATAATAATTTAATTAATAAATCCCTGGATCACACATATACGCATATAATTAAATTCTAAAACCTTTAATGTGTGTGTATAAATATACAAAAACTGTATAAAATATATATAAAAATAATTCATGTAAAAAACAATTTTTTTATTCAAGTACAAAAATTAATTTTTATTTACAAATTAAATATTTATAATATTTATAATTCGTTATATTATTTATAAATTTTGATATTGATTTTGATTTTTTTAAACTAATTGCAAGAGACGTTAAAATTATATAATTGAATACATAGTTAAAGGTATGCACACTTATTTTATTGGTTTTTTTTGTTTCTTTTTGACGCATCGATTGCAAGGGGACTTTCAGACAAATTGCCTAACTCCTCCGCCTTCGTAGGAGGGCAATTGAGCAGGAGGGTTGTTAGATTTTCCTCCAGAGAAGTTCAGCCGATTCATCTTACGGTGGATAGTAATTTAGACTAGTTCTACAATAAAGATGATACGTTGGCATTTTCTTTTCAAAGCAAAGAGCAGAGCTTTCCAATTTCTGACTCGAGGTATAGCTATACATGACTTAACAATTAAGAGCGTTGACATTATTTTTTCTTTGGAAAGACGGATAAAGTAAATACTTAATATTATTTTATTATTAGTTTTATTTTTATTATTTGTTCTATTCATTACGTTTGGTATATAAATTTTATTCCACAATATATAAGTAACATGCTCAATTAATTTTATTAATATCATTAATTTTATTAATATTTGATGATCCAATGGACTAAGGGAAATTTCCTTCTTTTTTTGTTTTTTTCTTCTCTCGTGTTAAATCCTTTTATTTTATATTCTTTCATATTTTTATTATATTACGCAGAAAAGTGTAAAATTGCTTATATAGAGCAGGCAAGATATTAAATGACCGGGAAAGCTTTGCCCTTTTAGGCATCCGTCTTTACACGGAAGGCTATTTCCGCAATCGATTATCTGTGGCGCCAGCTTTTATAATTCAGCACATACGTTCGTTGGTTCTTATCACCGTTGCACGGATCTTAAGTTATCCAGAGAAGCTTCTCAAATGGAGAGCTATTTTAACACATCTTCTTATACGATAAGGTTGAGTTCTTTTTTAACATCCCAGATAAAAATCTTATTGTCTAAAAAATCTATATAAATACGTATATTTAAAAAATAATAATATAATAAAGAGAAAATTCAATAAATAATCGACTATCGATGAACTAAATAAAATAAAGAGCGATATAGCTGAGACACAAATAAATCTGAGACGGAAATGCAACGGAATGTAATGATTATTTACATCTACTTTATCTTTATGAAACTATGTTTGAGTTAAAAAAATATAGACCCTATTTCTATGAGATAAATAATTTGTTCGCATATCTGCAGCTAATATCGCTATTAATATTTTTTGTTTCTTTGCCGAAAACTTTCGCTTTTTTGGAATGATGGAATAGTATACTTTCACATCACATTTATGTTGTGAAAAAGTTATTATCTATCATTCCGCGCAGGAAGATTCCTTCTTCATGCAAATGGATCTCATCGCAAATCGATTAAAAGGAATTAGATGAATTAACACATTTATTATCGTCAATCTTATCCTATAAGAAATACTTATTTGCACTTTCATTTTAATATTTATTGTCACTTTTATATTGTAAAAGAGAACAACAGATTTTAATAAATTTTAGTTTATCTTTATAAAAAGCAAAAATCATTTTTTAGGCATTTAAATAATTAACTGTGTGTATACGTGTTATATGAAAATGACATTTTATATATATATGTATATCTATATATGATATCGTCTTTATATAAATAATTTTCAGATAATTTTCAAAGAAACAAAATATATAGTTAATATAAATATATGTTAATTAAGAACGTTATTAAGAATATTAATTAAGATTAGTTTATTGATTTTAGAACAATTTAACTTCAATTAATAAAATAATTTTAAAGATAAGATTATATATATATATATATATATATATATAAATTATCATAATAGAAGCTTGTAAATTATCTTATCTTGTTTCTAACATAAAAAATTAGAAGTATCATTTTTTAGAAAATATTTGATTAGAATTACATTATCGTTAAATATTTAGTCAAAATTTAGCTCTAGATTTCACATAAAAAATAATAATCAATAAATTGCAGTTCTGCGTAACTGAAAGCATTTCATGCAGAAAAAGGTTATGAAAGAAAAAAAAAACAGACAATAAGGAAAAACTATTTCGATCAAGGAGTAGACTCATATTGGAAAAACGTGGTGGAACGCACCAAGAGCAACAAAACGAGTTGATCGTTCTCAAGACCTAGCGGATCTGGCGGATTTGTCTGTGTCGTATGTATAGACCGAAAGAATACTATAGGGTCCCACCTCCTCCCGACTATCGGCGCCTTTCTATCGTATTTCCTGCTACGAAGGTTAAAAGAGAGAATTGGATGGAGAACCGGTAGGACAAGAAGAAGTGTTATATACCGGGCGTAGCATTAAATGCTCCGACGCGGTACAGGCTAAGAGCAACGGTAATTCGTAGCAGGGGGTAAAAGTTCACCTACTCGTTTCAGCAGCCCCCGTAGATTACCGTCAAGCCTGTCCGGCATTGTCGCGCGCAATGTGTGCGCTACTCTTTTCCACCTTGTCCTAGCCTTGCCCCAGCGACACGACGTAGCGAGCTTCAAGAGCTTTGTGAGCTAAAAGGCCCGCAAATCATGCGCAATCTCGCTCATTAAATTATGTAATCGATATAAATGCGTAAAAAATGATTGCAGAGCATAATTTTAGATCATATAGATGTTAGACCATAATTTCGCTCTTGAATCAGAGATCACGGTGAGCTTTGACCTTTGAATTTTAAACTATGACCTCTAAATTGCGGATTCTACTAAAGGAGAACCAACCTATCGCAAATGCACTGGGAAGTTCTATCATAAGAACACTCGGGTAATGCGATTATAATTCGACAGACGCGTTTCAACATGATTGGTATCCTGAGAATGTATCCAAATGAATCCGATTCCGAATATATAATGAAGTATATATATGGAATGCAATGCGGCTAGAAATTGAGAAATCGCGATCTATCAGCATTTTTTCGCGATCATGTAGCATTTTGTGCGCTTGATAGAATTAACAAAATAATGCGCGTACACTTACGAATAAAAAATCCCGAGTTATTCTTTACAACGAGATAAAATTTTTTGTTTTTCACAGATGTTCTGATAGGGAACGCAATGCAAAAAATATTACATTCTTATAC